TTATCATGCATGACGAAAACAAAGGGTCATTAGAAAGACAAGAAAGAAGACCAAAATGGATGTCAGAAGAGACTCTGAAACTTGCTCTTGAACAAAGACCCAAAAGTGAATGGAAGATATGATGGAAGTAAAAGAGCTAAACAGAAGATTTCAAAGGGTATCTTGAGAAGACAAAGTATTATAATGAAATGTGCAAAGACCTGGTATTAGAAAACCAAAAAGGAAGAACACGCTTAGCACTTCTCAAGCTGAATGAATTGAAGAAAAATTCAACCCTTGAGGTGCAGTATTGAAGGATTCTATGGGCAAAATTTTGAACGATGCAGGGAGCATCAAAAGAAGATGGAAAGAATGCACATAATCACTGTACAAAAAGAATTGGTCAATGTTCAACCATTCCAGGAGGTAGCATATGATCAAGAACCGATGGTATTAAAGGAAGAAGTCTAAGCTGCACGGAAGGAATTGGTGAAAAACAAGGCTTCTGGAATTGATGGGGAATACCCATTGAGATGTTTCAACAAATGGATGTAATGCTGGAAGTGCTGACTCATCTATGCCAAGAAATTTGGAAGACAGCTACCTGGACAACTAACTGGAAAAGATCCATATTTGTGCCCATTCCAAATAATAATAATAAGAAAAGGTGATCTACCAGAATGTGGAGATGATCGAACGGTGTCATTAATTTCACACCCAAGTAAAATTTTGCTGAAAATAATTCAAAAATAGTTTCAAGAGTACATCAGTAGGGAACTTCCAGAAATCCAAGCTAGATTCAGAAGAGGACATGGAACAAAGGATGTTGTTGTTATGTCCCACCGAGTCATCTCCAACTCACAGTGACCTTATGTACAACAGAATGAAACACTGTCCAGTCCTGTGCCAGCCTCACAATCCCTACTATACCTGAGCCCATCGCTGTAGTCACTGTGTCAATCCACTTTTTTGAGGGCTTTCCCCTTTTTTGTTGACCCTCCACTTTACCAAGTATGGTATCCTTCTCCAGAGAATGGTCCCTTCTGACAACATGACCAAAGTAGGTAAGAAGAAGTCTGGCCATTCTTGCTTCCAAGAGCATTCCAGCTGCACTTGACTTTCAAGACTGATTTGTTAGTTCTTTTAGCAGTCCTCAGTACTTTCAGCATTCTTTGCCAGCACCACAACTCAAAAGCATCAACTCTTCTTTGATCTTTATTCATTGTCCATCTCTCACATGCATATGAGGTGATTGAAAATACTGTGGTTTGGATTAGGTGCATCTTAGTCTTCAAGGAAATATCTTTGCTCTTCAGCACTTGAAAGAGGTCTTTTGCCCAATGCAATACATCTTTTGATGTCTTAACCGCTGCTTCCATAGACACTGATTGTAGAACGAAGTAATATGAAGTCTTTGATGATTTCCATCTTTTCTCTATCTATTGTGGTGCTGCTTATTGGTCCAATTGTGAGGATTTTTGTTTTCTTTATATTGAGGTGTAATCCATACTGCAGCCTGTAGTCTTCAGTCTTCATCAGTGCTTCAAGTCATCCTCACTGTCAGCAAGCAAACTTGTGTCATCTGTGTATCTCTTCTTAATGAGGCTTCCTCCTCCTGCTGCCATGTTCTTCTTCATATAGTCCAGCTTCTTGGATTATTTGCTCAGCATACAGATTGAATAGGTGTGGTAAAAGGATACAGCTCCGACACACTCCCTTTCTGATTTTAAACCACACAATATCTCCTTGTTCTACTTGAACGACAGCCTCCTGTTCTATGTACAGGTTCCTCATGAGTACAATTAAGTGTTCTGGACTTCCCATTCTTCTCAGTGTTATCCACAATTTGTTATGATCCACACAATTGAATGCCTTTGCATAGTCAGTAAAACACAAGTAAACATCTTTCTGGTATTCTTTGCTTTCATCCAAAATCCATCTGACATTGGCAATAATATCCCTTCCTCTATGTCCCCTTCTGAATCCAGCTTGCATTTCTAGAAGTTTTCTGTCAGTATGCTGCTGCAACTATTTTTGAATTATCTTCAGTAAGAATTTTACTTGCGTGTGATATCGATAATGTTTGATAATTTCCACATTCTGTGGGATCACCTTTCTTTGGAATGGCTACAAATATGGATCTCTTCCAGTCAGTTGGCCAGCTAACTGTCTTCCAAATCTCTTGGCATAGCCGAGTGAGTGCCTCCAGTGGGGCATCCATTTGTTGAAACATCTCAATGGATATTCTGTCAATTCCTGGAGCCTTGTTTTTCACTAATTCCTTCAGTGCAGCTTTGACTTTTTCCTTCAGTACCATTGGTTGTTGATCATATGTCACTTCCTGAAATGGATGATCATCTACCAGTTCTTTTTGGTATAGTGAGTGACTCTGTATATTCATTCCATCCATCATCTTCTGGTGTTTCCTGAGTCATCCAACATATTGCCCATGGAATCTTCAATATTGCAATTTGAGGCTTAATTTTTTTCTTCAGTTCTTTCTTACCTCAGGGTTGAATCCTTTTACCATACTTACTCAATCCGTATGCTGAGTGTATAATCTGAGATGGTGGGCTATGTGAAGAATATAGCATCAGGATTGGAGGAAGACTCCGTAACAGCCTGTGATATGCAGATGACACAAGAAATGCTGAGCATGTTCTTCCCTTTTGGTTTTCTAACTCCAGGTCTTTGCACATTTCATAATGATCAACTTTGTCTTCTCAAGATGCTCTTTGAAATCTTCTGTTCAGCTCTTTTATGTTGTCATTTCTTCCATTTGCTATAGCTACTCTCCATTCAAGGGTTTTCACTGCTGTTCATAAGATTTTCACTGGCCAATTCTTTGAGAAATGGATGGTCTCTTTCTTCTTCTGTGTCTGCCTTAGTCTGGAAGCTCCAGTGAAGCCTGTCCACCATGGGTAACCCAGCTGGCATTTGAAACACTAGTGGCATAGCCTCCATCCTCACAGCAACACGCACACCACCATCATAAGACAAACTGACAGACAAGTTTGTCTCCCTTAGGAACAAAGGATATCATTGGTGATATCAGATGGCTCTCTGCTGAAGTAGTGAATTACTAGGAAAATGTTTACTTGTGTTTTATTGACTGCATGAAGGCATTCAAATGTGTGGATCATAACAAATTATGGATAACATTATGAAGAGTGGGAGTTCCTGAACATTTAATTGTGCTCGTGAGGAACTGTATATAGACAAGAAGTAGTTGTTTGAACAGAACAAGGGGATACTGCGTGGTTTAAAATCAGGAAAAGTGTGCATCGGGGTTGAATCCTTTCACCATACTTACTCAATCCGTATGCTGAGCATATAATCTGAGATGCTGGGCTGGGCTATGTGAAGAACATGGATGGCATCAGGATTAGAGGAAGACTCCTTAACAGCCTGTGATATGCAGATGACACAACTTTGCCTGCTGAAAGTGAAGAAGACTTGAAGCACTTACTGATGGAGATTAAAGACTGCAGTGTTCGGTATGGATTACACTTCAATGTAAAGAAAGCTAAAATCCTCACTACTGGACCAGTAAGCAGTATCATGAAAAATGGAGAAAAGATTGACATTGTGAAGGATTTCATTTTACTTGTCTCCAAAATCAATGCCCATGGAAGCAGCAGATAAGGAATCAAACAATGTATTGCACTGGGTAGATCTGATGCAAAAGACCTCTTTAAAGTGGTGAAGAGCAAAGATGGCAATTTGAAGACTAAGATGCATCTGACCCAAGCCATGGTATTTTCAGTGGCCTCATATGCATGTGAGAGCTGGACAATGAATAAGGAAGACCATAGCAGAATTGATGCATTTGAATTATAGTGTTGGCAACGAATAGTGAAGGTACTATGGACTGCCAGAAGAACAAATAAATCTGTCTTGGAAGCAGTACAGCTGGAATGCTCTTTAGAAGCAAGAATGATCAGAGTTTGTCTTTTGTACTTTGGTCATATTATCAGAAGGGACCAGTCTCTGTAGAAGGGTATCACGCTTGGTAAGGTAGAATGTTGGTCAAAAAGAGGGGGAGACTCTCAACGAAATGGATTGACACAGTGGCTGCTACCATAGGCTCAAGCATAGGAAAGACTGTGAGGATGGCACAGGACCTGGCAGTGTTTCGTTCTGTTGTACATAGGGGCACTATAAATTGGAATCGACTTGAACAACAACAACATATGTTACAAGTTTTCTACAATGAACATATAGACTTCATGAGGTAAAACCAGTTGCTAGAAAAGGTCATCATGATTGGTAAAGAGAGGGCAATCAGAAAAGAGGGAAAGCTCTCAGTGAGCTGGATGCACATAATAGCCAAAACGGCGGACTCAGACATGCCAGTCATCGTGAAAATGGCGTAGGTTTGCTCCAAGTCAAAGCCAACTCAGTGGCACCTAATGATAAAATAATTTACAGTGATTATTTTTAAAACAAATCAACCAAGCAGATTGAAATTCAGTCTACTTCTCTGTATTAAAAGTAAAAATGTTACTTCATCCTTAATTTTTTTTTTTTTTGACATCTTCCCTTAGTCTCTGTATTCCTCTCTTACTTTTTTCAGTTAGCAAGGGACAACTATTTCTGAAGGTGTTTGTATAATTTTTTAGTTTGTATGAGTATTCAAGCTATTTATTTTAGAGATTTAGTTCCTTAAATGAGAAATGAGTGCATACATTGTGGTAAATTGTAGGCAGTGTCATGAGACAAAAAGTGTATGTGAACTGCTGTATGGAAAGTGAATTTGCTCTGGAAATTTTCACCCAAATCACAATTAAAAAAAAAAAAAAAAAAATTGAACGGTGAAGACGGAGGATCCAGGTGTGAACCCAGCTCTGTGCCCTTAAAGCTGGGGACCTGGTTGAACCTAGGCCTTCTCTGGCTTCTGTAGAGTGGGATAGATTGTAAAAAAAAAAAAAGAAGATAGAAAGAAACGAATTGCATATGATACATGCATCCAAACTAAAATTGTCTCTTCTCTTTGTATTCTACCCCCCTCCTACTTACAGAAACAGAAAGTGAAAATGAATTTCGCCCCTTGGATGAAAGGATAGATGAATTTCACCCCAAAGCAACAAGAACTCTCTTTATTGGTAACCTTGAAAAAACTACTACATACCATGACCTTCGCAACATCTTCCAGCGCTTTGGAGAAATTGTGGTATGCTGCTCTTTGCAGTAAAACAGTTTTAGATGTTTGTCATAGAACACAAAACAGTACAAATTATATTTGGATAGATGATATTTAGATGGTGTTTTTTCATTTACTCTATGCGTTTTTAACTTCTGTTGAAAGGTGATTTGGAGCAGCCTATTGAGTACTGTTTTATGTACATATATAAAAATGTAGTGTGTGATATATGTGTCTTTATTTCATTTATGTATATTTTCTTATCCATCAGATAATGTTGTAATACTATCTCTAGTTCCATGGTTAGAAAGGAAAATCTGGAAGAGGAAGCATTTTTTAAAAAGAAGCAGCAAATCAGTGTTTGATTATTTTGTGATCACAGTACATGTCAGAAATATTTTCCAGTAGTGCTGCAAGGATTACTGGAATGTGAATATCATGTGTTGAAAGTTCAGTTCTATTCTGTTGTGAAGTTTTAATTAAAGCCATGTTTTATGCTATGTAAGTTGTTTGATTTAGGGATCAAGGATTTTCCTGTTCCCATGTCCTGAAAACTTGAGTCAGATTTTGGTGAAAATAGCTTGATTACAGCTTTGTACCCTTGGGATATGCTATACTTAATCTGTGCCTAAAAAATAGGGAAATTACTTCTGTCATTCCTAGATTTTCTGTATATTAATAACACTGAAGAGAGTCTCTGGTATGATTGGACTTTGGAGAGTAAATAAATATCTCAGGTAGGAACAACTATTGTTAATCTTTCAGGGGTGTGTGTCTATGTCCATATGTCCATTGATCCTTACTTATACACTGCTGCTCTAAGCTACCACTTGTCTGTCAGTTTGTCGTACTGTGGTGGCTTACGTGTTGCTATCAGGCTGGAGGCTATGCCACTGATAGTTCAGATACCAGCAGGGTCACCCATGCTGGACAGATTTCAGTGGAGCTTCTAGACTAAGACAGACTTGGAAGAAGGAAGGGGCCATCTACTTCTCAAAGAATTGGGCAGTGAAAACCTTATGAATAGCAGTGAAACACTGTCTGATGTATTACTGGAAAACTTGATGAATAGCCCTGAAACATTATCTGATACAGTGCTAGAAGAAGAGCCCCTCAGGTTGTAATGCACTCAAAATTTGACTAGGGAAGAGCTGCCTCCCCAAAGTAGAGTCAACCTTCATTAAGGGTAGAGTAAAGTTTTCAGGACCTCCGTTTGCTGATACAGTATGACTCAAAAAACAGCTGCAGGTGTCTATTAATAATTGGAACATGGAATATATGAAGTGTGAATCTAGGAAAACTGGAAGTTGTCAGAAATGAAATGGAATGCATAAAGATCTATGTCCTAGGCATTAGTGAGTTGCAGAGGACTGGTTTTTGCCATTTTGAATCAGACAACCCTATGAACTACTATGCCGGGAATGACAAATTGAAGAGGAATGGCATCACATTCATCGTTAAAAAAAAATGTTTGAAGATCTATCCTGAAGAACAGTGCTGTCAGTGATAGGATAATATCCATATGCCTACAGGAAGACCAGGAGCTCTGGTAGTGTAGTGCCTAAGGCACTTGACTGCTAACCAGAAGACTGGTGGTTCAAACCCACCAGCCACTCCTCAGAAGGAAGATGGGGCATTCTACTGCCATAGTGATACTGCCTCGGAAACCCAAGGAGGGGTCGCTATGAGTTGGGTCTGATGCGACAGCACATAACAACAACAAACAACACAGGAAGACCAGTCAGTACTGCTATTATTTAAATTTATGCACCAACCACCGAAGCCAAAGAAGAGGAAATTGAAGATTTTTACCAACTTCTGTGGTCTAAAATTGATCAAACACGTAATCAAGATGTGTTGATTATTACTGGTGATTGGAATGCAAAAGTAGGAAACGAAGAAGAATCACCAGTAATTGCAAAATATGGCCTTGGTGATAGAAACGATGCTGGAGATCGCATGATAGAATTTTGCAAGACCATGACTTACTCATTGCAAATACTTTTTTCAATAACATAAATGGTGGTTACACACGTGGACTTTGCCAGATGGAATACACAGGAATCAGATCAACTACATCTTTGGAAAGAGGCAATGGAGAAGCTCAGTATCTTCAGGCAAAACAAGGCCAAGAGCTGACTATGGAACAGACCATCAACTGCTCATATGCAAATTCAAGTTGAAATGTAGGACAATTAAAACAAATGCAAGCTGGATTCAGAAGAGGATGTGAAACAAGGGATATCATTTGGCTCTCATAGTCAAAATATGACCTTGATTATATCCCACCTGAATTTAGAGATAATCTGAAGAACAGATTTGATACATTGAACACCAGTGACCGAAAACCAGGTAAGTTATGGGATGACATCCAAAACATCATATAGGAAGAAAGCAAAAGGTCATTAAAACCATTTCCATTAAAGACAGGAAAGGAGGAAAAGACCAAAATGGATGCTGGAAAAGACTCTGAAAATTGCTTTTGAACAGATAGTAGCAAAAGTAAATGGAAGAAATGACAAACTAAAAGAGCTGAGTAGATTTCAAAGAGCAGCTTGAGAGACAGAGTCAATTATTACAATGAAATGTGCAGAAACCTGGAGGTAGAAAACCGAAAGGGAAGAACACGCTCGGCATTTCTCAAGCTGAAAGAAGTGAAAAAATTCAAGCCTCGAGTTGCAATATTGAAAGATTCTATGGGCAAAATATTGAATGATGCAGGAAATATCAAAAGAAGATGGAAGGAATGCACAGAGTCACTGTGCAAAAAAGAACTGGTAGATCTTCATCCATTTCAGGAGGTGGCATATGATCAAGAACCAGTGGTGCTGAAGAAAGAAGTCAAAGCTGCACTGAAGGAACTGGTAAAGAAGGCGGCTCTGGAAATTGATGGAATACCCATTGAGATGTTTCAACAATCCGATGCTGCACTGGAGGCTTTCATGCATCTATGCCAAGAAATTTGGAAGACAGCTACCTGGCCAGGTGACTGAAAGAGATCCAATATTTGTACCCATTCCAAAGAAAGGTGATCCCACAGAATGTGGAAATCATCAAACATCATTAGTATCACATGCAAGTAAAATCTTGCTGAAGGTAATTCAAAAACAGTTGCAGCAGTATATTGACAAAGAACTTCTAGAAATGCAAGCTGGATTCAGAAGAGGATGTGAAACAAGGAATATCATTGCTGATGTCACATGGATCTTGGCTGAAAGCAAAGAATACCAGAAAGATGTTTACTTGTGTTTTATTGACTATGCAAAGGCATTAGATTTTGTGGATGGTAACCAATTATGGATAACATTGAGAAGAATGGGAATTCCAGAACACTTCATTGTGCTCATGAGGAACCTGTACATAGACCAGGAGGCTGTCATTCAAATAGAACAAGGGGATACTACATGGTTTAAAATCAGGAAGGGGATGCATCATGGTTATATCCTTTCACCATACTTATTCAGTCTGTATGCTGAACAAATAATCAAAGTAGTTGGACTATATGAAGAAGTATGTGGCATCAGGATTGGAGGAAGACTCATTATAGCTTGTGATATGCAGACAACACAGATGTCTTGATAAAAGTACAGATGTCTTGATGAAAGTACAGATGACTTGAAGCACTTACTGATGAAGATTCAAGACTACAGTGTGCAGTATGGATTACAACTCAACATAAAATGAAAATCCTCACAACTGAATCAATAAGCAGCATCACAATAAATGGAGAAAAGATTGACATTGTCAGAGATTTCGTATTACTTGGTTCCACCATCACCACCACTGGAAGCAGCAGTCAAGAAATCAGATGACTTGGTGCACTGGGGAAATCTTTTGCAAAAGACTTTTTTAGAGTGATGAAGAGCAATGATGTCTCTGAAGGCTAAGATGTGCCTAACCCAAGCCATGGTGTTTTCAGTCACCTAATATGCATGGGAGGAGCTCTGGTAGCATAGTGGCTAAAGCACTTGACTGCTAACCAGAAGGCTGGCGGTTCAAACCCACCAGCCACTCCTCGGAAGGAAGGTTGGGCAATCCTACTTCCGTAGTGATACTGCCTCGGAAACCCAAGGAGGGGTCGCTATGAGTCAGGGCTGACTCGATGGCACACAACAACAACAACAACAATATGCATGGGAAGCTGGACAGTAAATAAGGAAGACTGAAGAAAAGTTGATGCTTTCTAGTTGTGGTTTTTGAGAAGAATACTGAAAGTACCATGGACTGCCAGAAGAATGGACAAATCTGTCCTGAAAGAAATGCAGCTGAAATGCTCCTCAGCAGTGAGAATGGCCAGACTTCATGTCACCTACTTTGGTCATGTTGTCAAAAGGGACTACTCCTTGGAGAAGCGTATCATGCTTTGTTAAGTGGAGGGTCAGCGAAAAAGGAGAAGGTCCTCAAGGAGGATGGATTGACACAGTGGCTGCTACGATGGGCTCAGGTATAGCAAGGCTTGTGAGGCTGGCTCAGGACCAGGCACTGTTTTGTTCCATTGTACTTAGGGTTGCTGTGAGTTGGAGCCAACTTGATGGCACCTAATAACAACATTGCTCTAAGCAAAAGGTCCTAGTCTTGTGAAGAGAAGAACATCGTTTGTGCTTGTGGCTGATCTGAACCTCTTTTTATACAGACTAGGGGGAAGAGAACAGAAAAACGATGTATTTAAAGAAATAGATCAGCAAAACATTCATCTTCCTTCCATTTCAATTACTTTGGTTTTTTAAAGTTCTTTTAGTTTTGTGAGAGTGGTGTATAGTGTAGTTGATAATTCCAGCTCTACTGCCTGCCTATGTAGGTGACTTTGAGTTCACCTACCTCTGGGAGCTCCCCCTTTTATTTTTCCCATAGTGATCTCTTAATTTGCTGTTTGGCATTTGTGAGTCTATAAACTGATAAATCTTTTGGACATACTTCTATTTAATTGTAGTTGCTATTTAAAATTTTGGAGACATGTAAAAATGTATATTTGTACATAGGAAAACATTTTCATTACTTCGATTGTGGAAATGGAATGATTGATACATGGATTTAAAGAGAGAGAATTATTCTAAATGTGGTGGACATGCCAGTGTTTTATGTGAAAATCATAATGTTATCATGTTAGCAGTTGCTGTTAATTTTACTATTTTCATGACACAAACTTTGGCAAAATTATTTACTGCTTTGTTTATAATTGATTATGCCATATCTGGAAGAACCTGTTTAGTGAGTGTAGACTACCAATACCTTCTGGAGACCATTGCTCTTAAATGGAGCTATCCTGGGTTTTTACACTCTTAAGTAATGGTGGAAATCATCTCCAGTTTACCATTACTGTGAACAACTTTTCTAAGGACCCATCAAAGAATTTTTTAAACGCATTTTTTATTTTGCTTTTTTTCAAGTTTTGGTTATTGGCTTGTGACCCTTAAGGAGGCTTAAACAATCACAGTGCTTATTCTACAGTGTACTGCCCAGGCCATCATTGTTCACATAGTTTTGCCATCCTAGTGTCTGGTTTCTCTGAACCATTTTTACATATAAGCCAGGTTGTCTACCTCCCTCCTCTCAGGAGGCAGGATTACAGGTTAGGGAATTTTGAAGAGATGAGGGTGTTCCTTATACAGTGATTCTTTAATCCACGGGCGGGATTCTGATGTATCTTCACAAAGTACAGTTCAGGTATTTATATATCCTGTCCTCCTGAATATGAGAGATGATTACCATATTAACCAATCACCAGACTTCATTCTGTTGGATATACTAATAGGATAATTAGCCCTCTACTTTAGGTTTGTTGTGTTTTAAGTAGCTTTTTCAAAGTTTGGTTTCTTTATAATTCTTCCTCTTAAATATTATTACGTTTTAAATGGCCTAGACAATACTTGGGATTTTAGGTACTGGAAAAAGAAATTATTTCCTAGGTTTTCATTAAATAGACGACCGTTTCTTTTTTACCATGTTCTCTTGACACTGGTACTATGTATTTTACATTTTTAATTTAGAGAAGGTTTTTGTGACTACAGATGTTGTAGTGTACAGTTTTTTCAGACTACTAATTTACAGTTGCATTGAAATGTACAATTTTAACTAAGAAAATAATCATTGGGGATAAGATTTTTTTTTTTTTTTTTGAGAGAATAAACACCTCAGTTATAATTTCAAGTCCATATGGACTTGGTTTATTCTGATATATTTTCTTTTTGGCCTATCACTAAATGGTATTGATTGGCTTTTGCAGGATATTGATATTAAGAAAGTAAATGGAGTTCCTCAGTATGCATTCTTACAATACTGTGATATTGCCAGTGTTTGTAAGGCTATTAAGAAGATGGATGGGGAGTACCTTGGAAATAATCGCCTCAAGGTAAAGGAATATGGATAAAATACTGTGCTGTTGTTATGATTTGCTTTATTTTTAATATTTGTTGTTTGTGTATTAGATGTCTGATTATTTAAAATTATAGAGTTAGATACTCATGAAGATGATACACTTTTTTGCATTCTCATCCTGTTATACTGTAATCTGAACTAATAGTTGGTTAGCCAGACAGGGTTACTTTTCTCCCCCTTAAACCAAATGGTTTTCACTTCAGGTGTTGGTTAGATAAGATTACTACCAAAGACTTGTTTTGTCAAATTCTGAAGTTGAGTAGGACTGTAAACATTGCTAACAGAAATTTCCCTTTTTATGTTCAGCTGGGTTTTGGAAAGAGCATGCCTACAAACTGTGTGTGGTTAGATGGGCTATCTTCAAACGTGTCGGATCAGTATTTAACACGACATTTCTGCCGCTATGGGCCCGTGGTAAAGGTAGGTGGGAGGGTTTGGTGTGTGGTTCAAAGTTACTTCTAACTCTTTTTTTCTTGGTTTTCTGTCCTTTCAATCCTAATTTCTAGTATTGCCTTTTTCTTTTCTTCAGTGGCTCATGCATTAAAATTCTCTTCACCAAAATTTGGTCTATAAGAGCATGTATTACATCTATCAGCTTATGATATGATTGTTTGAAAAACTATTTTGGTTGGGTAAGATGTCTGATTTTTAAACTTTATCTGCAGTGTACAGCTAAATAGAATGTTTCTTTGAGATTTTTATAATTTCATCTCATTAGAAGTAGCCATTCTAATTATATAATTATTCATATTCACACTGATAGGTAATGAGACATGATACATATGTTTGTGTATGTGTGTGTATATATGTGCATATATATAAATGATGACTTCAAAGAGAAATTCACTGACACAATGGAAGATTCATTTAACCAATGTTCATTATGTAACGTATCCATAAACATTAAGAAAAGCTATCTGGGCCCCATTCCATTGGCTCAATGTAAAGCTTCAACTCCTTAAAAGTAAAATTTTTTCTGATGGGTGTGTTACATAATTTTGACACTTCTTTAAATGTAGCTTTTGTTGTTTGAAGAAATACCCATCTTTACCTATTGCTAGTATTAAAAATAAATAAATAAATACATCCAGCAGTTTTGAGACAGTAGTGTTATTTAAAACTAAAATTCTCTGGAATTCTTTACTGGTTCAGTATATTAGAAAATTTTTTCTCCCTTTCAAGTGTGTGGTTTTTTTTGAGCCAAAACTAGAATAATGGACAGTACAGTAGTCAGTCAAGAAGGAAAATAAAGTAAAATACAGAAAAACAAAATAAAGCATAATATACCTCAAGCCACAATATCCACTATTCTAAACAGTCCCTGCACATTTTATTATGTTTTCATCAATGTGCATCATCAAGAAAAGCCTGAAAATTTTTCTGTTACTGGGGAAAAAAAATTATATATATATATATATATATATATATATAATTTCTTGGCAGTGTCCTTGAGACTTAGGATTTTGTTGGGACTGACACTAAGTCCAGTGGATGAGGCTCTTATTTGGTTTTTGTTTTGTTTTTTTGTTTTTTACAGGTGGTGTTTGACCGCTTAAAAGGCATGGCCCTCGTTCTCTACAATGAAATTGAATATGCACAAGCAGCTGTAAAAGAGACCAAGGGGAGGAAAATCGGTGGGAATAAAATTAAGGTGTGCAGAATGATTTTAAACAGAAGCAAAACAAAATTGTATTTTAATCTCACCCCCTTCATAACTGGCATTCGCAGGTTGCCAGTCTGGGGAATGATATATAGGGACTTGTATTGTATGTCCTCAGTTTTTAAAGGGAACATTATGATTTTTAAACTCAAGTAATTGAAGGCATAAGGTCTTTTAATCCATTAGCTGCAGAACCTTCCCTAAAAATCTTCTCATTCTGTAAAGTATGCTTCTCTGCACTTCGGGTACCTGATGCTTAACTGTGCATGCTTGTTGCAGGCTGGCCCACAGTTACCTATGGGCATCTGCACACTCAGAAACTCGAATTGTCAGTCAATCCAGCTTCCTGAATAATCTTCTCTTCCTTTCCTTTCCTCTTCTCCTAAAGAATGGTAACCACTGAAAGCATGATGTTTTGTCTGATGTATTTGTTTAAAACCTTGGTATTCATGGTAGTTGGAAGGAATTTATGCACTTAATAGCTGTGATGGTTAGATTGAAATAAGTCTTTATAAAATTAAATGGTAAGGTATTTATTGATAGATGACATATATCATCTGCTTTAACAATTTTGAGGCCCAGCTATGAGTAAACATAAATTTTCTTCCATATTTTCTCTTACGTTCTAACTGTGGTTTTAGTAAATTTATGTACGACAGGAATTGCTGAGTTTAGTTTATCTGATTATTTAATTGACAGCCTGGAATCCTGGTAGGTATTGTCTCAGTTTTCCATTTTGCTTTTTCCACTCCTTCAGGATTGGGCTCTGGAATTCTAAATTACAGTTCTTTATCAAGATTTGTGTAGAATTTGAGAGTGATTTCAGGTTAACAAAAATATAGTGTCAGTTATGAGGACTACTGGACTTAATTGAAATAGATTTCAGTTCTTTGCTGAAATTTGTCAGAAGGGCTATTTTGGGAAGAATTTGCAAATTAAAGTCTGAAACTTAAATACCTGCTATTCTTTTTTTTTTTAAGGTGGATTTTGCAAATAGGGAAAGTCAGTTGGCATTTTATCATTGCATGGAGAAATCTGGCCAAGATATCAGAGACTTTTATGAAATGTTAGTAGAAAGAAGGTATGTATTTAAACCTATCAGTGTAGCTTAATTTTGTAATTTCAAATATATAAAATTTGAATGAGATTAAATTTTATTTTTTACTCCTTATCTTTATCCTTATCCCGATAAAACTCTTCCTCTTTTTCCCCTTATATGGAAATTCAAGTTACTTTCATTTGGCTCATGGTGGTTGGGATAACTTATCCAAATTTCTCACCAAATGCCCTTACAATTTGAAAGAAGAGTTAGTGATTTGCCAGATTATAACTTTATGTACAGTTAATTATAAACCATCCTACCTTTCAGTTTAGTGGGCCCCCCCCAAAAAAATTAAACTTATTTTAGAGGGCTTTCAAACTAAGAGGTCTTTATTCATATCTCACGTTTTCTTTTTAAACAGTTTTGTTTTTGTTATTGATACTGTTGTTGAAAGTTGCCTTATAGTTTTAAATAGAATGTGATACTATATGTTAAAGTACTGTATAAACTGTTAAATGTCTTATATATTTAGTAATGACAACATTCAGATTGTCACCATGCATGTGCTCATACATTTAACTTAAAAAAAAAAAAAAAGAAAAAAAGAACACCATCTTTCTACAGACTGTAAACAGCTTTGTTTTAAATAATTTGTGAATCAGTAAGCCAAAGCATATATAAATTGGTAACTTTAAAAATGTGCAAAATAAATCTTATTTCCCATGGTTAGTTTTTTTCAGTTATGGTGCCATATAATATAGTATTTTATATTTTTTCTCCTACTTATAGGAAACATAAACATATTACGGTCCAGAATTATTTAAGGTCTCAAAATTCAAATCAGCTATCTTCTTTAGCTTAAAACTGTCCCAAAACTGATGATTTACTGTTTTTTAGAGTGAATATTTTAAAACATCCACAGAATATCAGGAGGATAGTAGTGGTTCGGTGAAGGAATTCTCACCTTCTACGTGGGCCACCTCAAGTTCAAGTCCTTGCCAGTGTACCTTATGAGCAGCCATTACTCCTCTGTCACTGGAGGTTTGCCTGTTGTTATGATGCTGAACAAGTTTCAGCAGAACTTCCAAACTAAGACAGACTAGGAAGAAAAGCCTGGTGATGTGCTTCTGAAAGTCAGCCAGTGAGAACACTATGAATGGATCCCAGCAGTCCCATCCCATTGTGTATGGGGTTGCCATGAGTCAGGGCCAACTCAGCAGCAGCTAGCAACCACCACATGATGCCATCAAGCTTCAGTAGCCAATCACATCTGTAAATGGAAGTTACCATCCGGGTGATGAAGCTGTTTGCCCAGACATGCCTCAGCGATGTCTGGAATGTTACAACTAGATGTCTGTCTCTGTAAGTAAGTGTTAGACAAAAGGCTTTGTGTGAAAAATGGCTTTAGACATCTAAGTTCAAGTATTAAAAGGGCTTTGTGACAAAGATGACCAAAAATCTGAGATGCTACCAGAAACCTGTTGAATGTATTCCCTTCCTGCTACCTCTTTTTCTTGTCAGTTTATTTTTAAATCATAGAAAGTATATCTCTCTTTGAGACATTTCTTAGTGGAATATTGTATAATTGTCATTGAATATTTGTAGATGCTTATTGTTTATTTATTTTTATTTGGGGATTTTTAAATGAAAAATGCCACCCACAGCCAAATTCCCCAAAGCTCAAACTTCTAGGATTTTGATGGTTTCTCACTAGTAGATTAGAATCCAAACTCTATAAGATCAAAAAATCAGCAGTTCTCCAGCTTGATAGTCTTGATAGGCTGTTCTATTTTAGTTGTGTGTGTGTATGAGAGTGTGAGGAAAAGCACACAAGTGTATGTGTCTGTAGGGAGAGAGAAAAAATTCTCTATCCTGCCTACCCAAGTAGCAGTTTGAAGTCATTGCTAGAGATACTGAAGATCAAATACATTAAGTGCTTACAGTAATTCTTATCCATAACTGAATGGAAAATCTTTATGAAGCCTAATTGCATCTAAGATATAAAAACATCCATTAGAATCCTCTGTGTGTACATTAAATATTTTTAAAAGAGAAGTGCCTTGTAGGTATTGAATAATGCTATGTGGGTGTTAATTCTGTGTGGGTTATTATTTATTCCCTATGTAATGGAATCTATCTCCTAAGGTAGGAAGTATTGAGGGGGAGGGACTTGGATATCCTTGTGACCCAGTTTTGCCCCATTTGATTTCAGATGGCAGTGCCTATGAATACTCCTTGTAGTATAACTTGAAGATCTATGTACTTTCCTTAGAGTGGAAGAGAGTCATGCCACTGACTAGTTGATAAGTAAATGAAAAAAAGGTTCCATATAACAATAGTTCAGCTCAGGAATGCAACTGATAACCCCATTTGAAAACGGTTTACAATGTAGTGTTTCATTTGGTTCTTTAAGTACTGTATCAGAGAAGTGGGGCCATGACTGTTGTCCCATTTTACTGAAAGTCAGATGGCATAGTAACTTTGCTAATAAGATCACAGGCTACTAAGTGGTTGGGCTGGGGAGAAGCCCAGGCGATTGATTACCTGTCTAGTGCATTGAGCCTTACACTTTACTAAAGTGCTTCTCCAGATGAAGTTAGAGGGCCACATTGTAATATAGATGAATTTGCGACGTAGTTAGTTAGTAGGGTAGTTTTGGAAGTTTGGATAGTGTGCAGTTATATGAGTAGAATCATCTCTTAGAACCTGACCTTTGGCAGTTCCTTGGAGACTCTGTACATAGCTCTCCCATAGCCCTTTTGTGCATGGTGCAAGTGTTCAGTTGGGTAGTCTTCCACTTTGTGGTTGAGTTCCTTGAGAACAAGAACTCTTATTTCTTTTTATAGTCATAGGGCCCAGGAAAACATGTACAAAATAGTTATTTTAATAATAGCGGCATTATGCTGAGTGAAATAAGTTAGTTGCAGAAAGGCAAATATTGTATGAGTCCACTGTTATAAAAAGAAAAGGTTTACACATGGAAGGAAAGTTCCTTTGTTGGTTACCAGGAATGGGAGGGAAATGGAAAGAAAATTGCTAGCTAGGTAAGAGACATGTATTGATTTGGGTGAAGGGAACGGCAGTATACCAAAAGTGGGTAACCAGCACACTAACACTAAGGGAAAGGAAGACAGGTGCACAAGAAGTACAGACAACAAAGGCAAATACATACACAATACTACATTATCATTAATAACCAACATTAATCTATGAGTTTAATAACCAACATTAATCTATGAGTAGATACCTACATAGACAGGTAAGATGATCAGGTATGGGTAGGCAAAAGGGAATATACTCATGACCGTATGTAGGTCTGGCAGATGATATTTCTACATAAATAATTGTATGTGCTATAAAAATGTCCATATATATAATAGTGAATAGGGGCCAAAGTTGTGATAACTTCTTAGCTACAACCAAACACCTTGAGAGGAAGTGAGTCACTGGGCTCGTGGGCTCAGGACATGGTCACAGAGGACATCAAGCTCAACTGGCCTAACATACTACACAAAAACATTGTTCTACATCCTACTTCACTGAGTAGCTACTAGAGTTTTAAAAGCTTGCAAGCAATCATATAGGATGCAATTGTTGGTCTCTCCTTGTCCAGAGCAAAGAAGAGTGAAGAAAGACACATGGAAACAATTAGTCCAAGGGGCTAGTGGACCATGAGAACATAAGCTTACCTGACTTTGAGACCAGAAGAACTAGATGGTGCAATGCCAACCACTCTGAAAGGGATCAGAATTGGGGATCCTGGATAGAGTGGGAGAAAATTGTGGAACAGAATTCAAAATCATAAAACAGACTGAGCTTATTAGTCTGATAGAGACTGGTGAAATCCCCAAGACTATGGCTCCTAGTCACCCTTCAGGCCTGGAATTGAACTCATTCTTATGGCTTAAATTTTAGCCAAACAGTAGGCCTATAAAGTGAACAATTATACCAGGTAGGTATATTCCATAGAACAAGCGACCATGGAGACCAGAATGGCAGCATATTCATAGGGAGAAAGCTCAGAAGGCAGGAATGTACAGAAAGAAGGACACAGGGGAAAGGTAAGCACAGGGAGGAAGTGGGAATAGAGCTGGGGGAAAAATAAAAAAAGGCAGACAGTGCTCCAGCACTAATATTTACACATGCACATTGGACTTCTCTTTTCCTGTTTTTGGATATAATTTTAGTTTGTTTCTAACTGCCTCACCTTTCTCTCATGGAGCAGCTTGTAGGTTCAAGCTGCTGACCTTTCAGTTAGCCCAGAATCTTACCATTGCACCAGCAAGGCTCCTTACAGCATGTATTGATTTCGGTGAAGGGAATGCTGCCATTCTCATCTCTCATGGTTGATTGTTCTAAGGAATGTACCTACCTGGTATATATAAAAAAAAGTTTTTTTTAAAATTTTATTATGGTGAAACATACACAACGAGACATTCACCAGCATAACAGCTTCCACATTTACAGCTCAAGGACATTGAAGAAAAAGGTTTTTTTAGATGTCTTCTTATTTAATCTTTTGAAGAGCCCTATGAGAAGAAGGCATCACATTTTACAAGTGAGGAATCTGAACGCAGAGTAACTCTCAGAATTTTTGAGGTATTACTAATAACAGGTCACGTAGGTGGTAAGATTATTTTAATGCTTTGTTTTTCAAAATAGTGCATTTATTTCCCAAGTTGTGGTATGACTATCTTTTGGCAGAAAAATAATTATGAAAGACTTAGAAATGTGGTATGTAGTACCATTTAATACTGGTGTCCATTACAAAGTCATTACATACTATCCGACTCCCAGACCCCTGCTTGGGTTTCTGAGGCAGTATCTCTACAGAAGTAGATTGCCCAGTCTTCCTTCCGAGGAGTGGCTGGTATGTTTGAACCGCCAGCCTTCTGGTTAGCAGTCTGTTACCTTAGGCACTACACCACCAGAGCTCCAAACATCCTATCTGAGTTACAAAAGAATGAAAAAGGGGTAAACCAGCACTGTCCATTAGAAACAAAATGCTACATAGGTAATTATAGATATTCTACTAGTAACCTATTATAAAAAGTTTTTTTAAAAATTATTTAATCAGTATAGCTAAAATATCATTTCAGCAAGCAAACAATGTGAATAAATTATTGAGGTTTTTCTTTTCTTTATTTCTAACTAAATCTGTGAAATCCAGTGTATAATTTACATTTCCAGCACGTTTCAATTCAGACTAACCGCATTTCCAGTGCAGTTCTAAATAATGAGTAAATAATGGCAAAGATTTTTAGAAGCAGGGGTTTCTGATTTGCCTATGTCAGATTTAATGCATAAATGCCTAGGAAAAAGAACTAATATGTTTGTTTTTACTTTTTTGGCAGAGAAGAGCGAAGGGCATCCTATGACTATAACCAGGATCGTACATATTATGAGAATGTTCGTACTCCAGGGACGTACCCTGAGGATTCCAGACGGGACTATCCAGCTCGAGGGAGAGAATTTTACTCAGAATGGGAGACTTACCAAGGAGACTATTACGAATCACGCTATTATGATGATCCTCGGGAATACAGGGATTACAGGAATGATCCTTATGAACAAGATATTCGGGAATACAGTTACAGGCAACGGGAACGAGAAAGAGAACGTGAAAGATTTGAGTCTGACCGGGACAGAGACCATGAGAGGAGGCCAATTGAACGAAGTCAGAGTCCAGTCCACTTACGACGTCCACAGAGTCCTGGAGCATCTCCCTCACAGTCAGAGAGGTTGCCCAGTGATTCTGAGAGGAGGATGTATAGTCGGTCCTCAGACCGCAGTGGAAGCTGTAGTTCACTCTCCCCTCCAAGGTATGATAAACTTGAGAAACCGCGTCAGGAACGCTATACGAAAAATGAAAAGACAGAGAAAGAGCGAACTTTTGATCATCCTGAGAGGGGGGAGAGAGAGCGACGCTTAATAAGAAAGGAAAAAGTAGAAAAGGACAAAACTGACAAGCAGAAACGAAAAGGAAAAATTCATTCCCCTAGTTCTCAGTCTTCAGAAACAGACCAAGAAAATGAGAGAGAACTGAGCCCTGAAAAACCAAGGAGCTCTAATAAGCTAAGCAGAGAGAAAGCTGACAAAGAAGGAATAGCAAAAAACCGCCTTGAACTCATGCCTTGTGTAGTTTTGACTCGAGTGAAAGAAAAAGAGGGGAAGGTTATTGACCACACTGCTTTTGAAAAGCTAAAAACCAAGCTTGATAACGACACTGGAAAGTCGTCTGCTCTAGATCAGAAACTTCAGGTCTCTCAAACTGAGCCTGCAAAATCTGACATGTCTAAAGTGGAATCTGTTAGAATGAAGGTACCAAAGGAAAAGGGCCTTTCCAGCCACGTAGAAGTAGTAGAGAAAGAAGGCAGGCTTAAGCCCAGGAAACACCTGAAACCAGAGCAGACTGTTGACGGGCTCAGTGCCGTGGATCTGGAGAAATTGGAAGCTAGGAAAAGGCGTTTTGCAGATTCAAATTTGAAAGCAGAACGGCAGAAATCAGAAGTCAAGAAAAGCAGCCCAGAGATGGAAGACACTAGGGTACTTTTGAAAAAGCAGCCTGACTTAACATCTAGAGATATTGTTCTGCTAAGGGAAGCTGACTCTGAAAGAAAGCCTGTGAGGAAAGAAATCCTTAAAAGAGAATCCAAAAAAATCAAACTGGATAGACTTAATACTGTCCCCAGCCCCAAAGACTGTCAGGAGCTTGCTAGTATTTCTCTTGGAGCTGGCTCAAGGCCAAGCTCAGACCTACAAGCAAGGCTGGGAGAACCAGTAGGTGAATCTGCGGAAAATCAAGAAATCCAATCAAAAAAACCCACTTCCTCGAAACCACAGCTCAAACAGCTACAGTTATTAGATGATCAAGGATCAGAGAGGGAGGATGTTAGGAAGAACTATTGCCATGTTCATGATGAGACACCTGAACGTAAATCAGGCCAAGAGAAACCACATTCAGTAAATGCTGAAGAAAAAATTGGCATCGATATTGATCACACACAGAGTTACCGAAAACAAATGGAACAGAGTCGTAGAAAGCAGCAGATGGAGATGGAAATAGCCAAGTCTGAGAAGTTTGGCAGTCCTCAAAGAGATGTAGATGAATATGAAAGGCGTAGCCTGGTTCACGAGGTGGGCAAACCCCCTCAGGATGTCACTGATGACTCTCCTCCCAGCAAAAAGAAAAGGCTGGATCATGTTGATTTTGAGATCTGCAGCAAAAGAGAGAGGAATTACAGAAGTTCCCGCCAAATTAGTGAAGATTCTGAAAGGACTGGTGGTTCTCCCAACATCCGACACGGTTCTTTCCATGAAGATGATGACCACCTCGGCTCTCCTCGGTTAATGTCAGTAAAAGGGTCCCCTAAAATAGATGAAAAAGGTCTCCCCTATTCTAATATAATAGTCAGAGAAGAGTCCCTAAAATTTAATCCCTATGATTCCAGCAGGCGAGAACAGATGGCAGACATGGCCAAGATAAAGCTATCTGTCTTGAATTCTGAAGATGAACTAAATCGTTGGGACTCTCAAATGAAACAAGATGCTAGCAGATTTGAGGTGAGTTTCCCAAACAGCATAATTAAGAGAGACAGCCTTCGAAAGAGGTCTGTACGAGACTTGGAACCTGGTGAGGTGCCTTCTGATTCTGATGAAGATGGTGAACACAAATCCCACTCCCCCAGAGCCTCTTCATTATATGAAAGTTCCCGGTTGTCTTTTTTATTGAGGGACAGAGAAGAAAAACTACGTGAGCGAGATGAAAGACTCTCTAGTTCTTTAGAAAGGAACAAATTCTATTCTTTTGCGTTGGATAAGACAATCACACCAGACACTAAGGCTTTGCTTGAAAGAGCCAAATCTCTCTCTTCATCTAGAGAAGAAAATTGGTCTTTTCTTGATTGGGACTCTCGATTTGCTAATTTTCGAAACAACAAAGATAAAGAAAAGGTGGACTCTGCTCCAAGACCCATTCCATCTTGGTACATGAAAAAGAAGAAAATTAGGACTGATTCTGAAGGAAAAATGGATGATAAAAAAGAGGACCATAAAGAAGAAGAACAGGAAAGGCAAGAATTATTTGCTTCTCGTTTTTTACACAGCTCAATCTTTGAACAAGACTCCAAGCGACTACAGCATCTAGAGAGAAAAGATGAAGACTCTGACTTCATTTCTGGTAGGTTATATGGGAGGCAGACATCTGATGGAGCAAACAGCACAACTGATGTAATTCAAGAGCCAGTTGTTCTATTTCATAGCAGATTTATGGAACTCACACGAATGCAGCAGAAAGAAAAAGAAAAAGACCAAAAGCCCAAAGAGAGTGAGAAACAGGAAGATACAGAGAATCAACCCAAGACTCCAGAATCTGCTTCTGAGAATAAAGAATCAGAACTGAAAATGTCATCTTCAGTTGGGCCTCCTGTTGTCACAGTTGTAACTCCAGACTCGGTACCTCCATCACTAGAGAAGACAACCAGTGAGAAAGCAGTGGAGGCACCTTCAGCAGCAGAAGAGAAGCCTGTGGAGCCTGCCTTGGTCTCAGAAGAAGCAAATCCTGTGTCTGACCTGGCTCCTGTCCCTGTGGAACAACCTGAACAAGTAAACTTGCCCCCAGGAATGGACACCAATAAAGATGCTGCTGTGACTCCATTAGTAATTGAAGAAAGCTCATCAGCTGACCAGCTGCCTTATCTGGATACCAAGCCTCCAACTCCTGGGGCCTCATTTTCCCAAGTAGAGATCAGTGTAGATTCAGAACCTGACAGTACCCTACTACTTCCCAAGTCAACCCAGAAGTCTGAGGAAGCCAGTGAGCCAAAGGCAGAAAAGCCAGACTCAGCTGATAATGTTGAGCCTAAAGCAAATCAGAAAGCTGAAGTTGTTCCTGAGGTCCACCCCCAGGCTGCTGAAGATGTAGAGGCTGAGCCTCCAGTTGCTGCAAAAGACAAAAAGCCAAGCAAAAGTAAACGTTCCAAAACCCCAGTTCAGGCAGCTGTAGCAAGCATTGTGGAGAAGCCTGTCACGAGGAAGAGTGAGAGAATAGACCGGGAAAAACTAAAGCGGTCCAGCTCTCCTCGGGGAGAAGCACAGAAACTGTTAGAATTGAAGATGGAGGCAGAGAAGATTACAAGGACTGCTTCGAAAACCTCTGCTGGGGACCCTGAACACCCTGAGCCAAGTTTGCCCCTCAGCCGGACAAGGCGCCGAAATGTAAGGAGCGTTTATGCGACTATGGGTGACCATGAAAGCCGCTCTCCAGTAAAAGAACCCACAGAGCAGCCAAGACTGACCAGAAAAAGACTGGAGCGAGAACTTCAGGAAGCTGCAGCAGTTCCTACGACCCCGCGGAGGGGAAGGCCTCCTAAAACACGCCGCCGAGCTGATGAAGACGAGGAGACTGAGGTGAAAGAACCAGCTGAAACACTCAAACCAGCTGAGGGATGGCGATCCCCTCGATCTCAAAAATTAGTAGCTGCCAGTGGCCCACAAGGGAAGGGAAAGGGAAAAAATGAACCAAAAGTTGATGCTTTTGCTGAACGTCCTGAGGCTGCCACTGAGGTGGGTTTTCAAATGAATGTGAAAGAAAACAACACAAAATCCAAACCTGATAAAGAAGCAGCAGGAAGTGAACAGAAACAGGATAGAAAAGAGATCAGCACAGATAAAAACCCACCTGAAACTCCCCCAGTTGAGGTGGTGGAGAAAAAAACAGCCCCTGAAAAAAACTCCAAATCAAAGAGAGGAAGATCTCGAAACTCCAGGTCAGCAGCAGACAAATCTGCAAACCTGAGGAACGTGGATGCTAATGCAGGTGCCAGTGCAGCCACAGGGTCTGTGGGGCTGGCAGGAGAGCAGGACACTGAGGTTAGGGCAGTCTCCCCCGAGAAAAGCGAGGGTCCCCAAAAGGAGAGTAGCCTGTCATCCCAGTTGAAGAGTGATCTTATTGATCAGAACAAGGAACCAGAGAAGGAAAATGTGTCTGACTCTAAGCTGTGCCCAGAAGCAACACAGTTGGCCAAGCAGATGGAGCTGGAGCAAGCTGTGGAGAACATTGCAAAGCTCACAGAAACGTCAGTTGCTACAGCCTACAAAGCATCAGCTGCAGATGCACCTGAGGGCCTTGCCACGGAGGACAGAGACAAGCCAGCCCATCAAGCAAGTGAAACAGAACTTGCTGCAGCCATTGGCTCCATCATCAATGACATTTCTGGGGAGCCAGAAAACTTCACAGCTCCTCCCACATACCCTGCAGAGTCTCAACCAGATGTCCAGCCCCATCCTCAAGGGTTACAGCCTCCTGAGGAAGGAATGGAGCCTGAGACAGATGAGGCTGTATCTGGCATCTTGGAGACTGAGGCTGCCACAGAATCTTCTGGGCCACCCATCAGTGCTCCTGACACCTCTGTAGGCCCAGCAGACACCAAGGAAGTCAGAGGGAATGGCAGTGAACCCTCCCATCCAGTGCAAGAAGCCAAAGGGTTCAAAGAAGCAGAAGTTGCTCGGAAAGACAAAGGACGCCAGAAGACAACCAGATCGCGCCGCAAACGGAATACAAACAGGAAAGCAGGGGCTGTGGCAGAGCCCCATACCTCCAAGTCTGATCAGCCTCAAAGCAAGAGTCCAGCTGTAAACGAGGGAACAATGCTACAAGCCCCAGAAACTCCACAGGAAGAAAAGCCGAGTGAAAAGCCCCACTCCACTCCTCCTGAGCCGTGTGTGTCTGACCCAAGCAAGACTCCACCCAGGGAGACTATATCCCAGGAGAGTACCATTGAGGAAAAGACACCAACCAGAGGGTCTGCACCCCCTGACCTACTACCTACCCCTTCTCAGCCAGCACTAGGAGATGATGACCAGCAAGCCAGATTCAAGGTACATTCAATTATTGAAAGTGACCCAGTAACTCCACCCAGTGACTCTAGCATGCCCACCCCCACAATTCCTTCTGTAGCTACAGCAAAGCTCCCTGCCCCTGTCACCTCTACTGGGATCCCACATCAGAGTTCCCCTCCTAAGGTGACAGAATGGATGACGAGGCAGGAAGAGCCGCGGGCTCAGTCCACACCATCTCCAGCTCTTCCTCCAGACACAAAAGCCTCTGATATGGACACCAGCTCCAGTACGCTGAGAAAGATCCTCATGGACCCCAAATATGTGTCTGCCACGGCCATCACTTCCACAAGTGTCACTGCCTCCATCGCAGAGCCTGTCAGTGCCACCCCCTGCCTACATGAAGCACCACCCCCTCCCATTGAACCTAAAAAGCCTCTTTCAGAAGAAAAACCAGCAGCTCCAGTAGTCAACACCTCTGATACACAAGCCTCAGAGGTTCCAGTAGCCACTGATAAAGAAAAGACCGCGCAAGTTATTGCTCCCAAAATTACTTCTGTCATTAGCCGGATGCCTGTCAGCATTGATTTAGAGAATTCCCAGAAGATAACGCTGGCAAAACCTGCTCCTCAGACTCTGACTGGCCTGGTGAGTGCCCTGACTGGCCTGGTGAATGTCTCACTGGTTCCAGTGAATGCCCTGACTGGCCCAGTGAATGCTTTGAAAGCGCCTGTGAAGGGCTCAGTGACAACACTGAAAGGTCTGGTGAACACTCCTGCTGGTCCTGTGAATGTCCTCAAGGGGCCAGTGAATGTCCTCACAGGACCCGTGAATGTTCTCACCACTCCAGTGAATGCCGCTGTGGGCACAGTGAACGCCACCCCAGGGGCAGTGAACACAGCCACAGGTGCAGTGAATGCCGCCACAGGTGCAGTGACTGTCACAGCAGGGGCGGTAACTGCAGCATCTGGTGCTGTGACTGCCACAGCAGGTGCAGTGACCATGGCAGCAGGGGCAATGATCACACCACCGGCAAAATGCAAGCAGAGAACAAGCACTAACGAAAATAGCCGGTTCCACCCGGGATCGATGTCTGTGATTGATGACCGCCCTGCTGACACGGGCTCTGGTGCTGGACTGCGTGTGAACACCTCAGAAGGGGTTGTACTCCTGAGCTATTCAGGGCAGAAGACTGAAGGCCCACAGCGGATCAGTGCCAAGATTAGTCAGATCCCCCCAGCAAGTGCAATGGACATTGAATTCCAGCAGTCAGTGTCCAAGTCCCAGGTCAAACCTGATTCTGTCACACCATCTCAGCCTGCACCCAAGGGCCCTCAAGCACCTTCAGGCTATGCAAATGTGGCCACCCACTCTACTCTGGTATTAACGGCCCAGACGTATAATGCATCTCCTGTGATTTCATCTGTGAAGGCTGATCGTCCATCCTTGGAGAAGCCTGAGCCTATTCACCTCTCTGTGTCCACACCGGTCACCCAAGGTGGCACAGTGAAGGTGCTCACCCAGGGTATAAATACACCTCCAGTGCTGGTTCACAACCAGCTGGTACTCACCCCAAGCATAGTCACCACTAATAAAAAGCTTGCTGACCCTGTGACCCTCAAAATAGAGACCAAGGTCCTTCAGCCGGCTAGCCTAGGGTCAACTCTCACGCCCCATCACCCTCCTGCTCTGCCCAGCAAACTGCCTGCAGATGTGAACCATGTAAATTCAGGGCCCAGCACCCCAACAGACCGAACAGTCTCCCATTTGGCAGTCACAAAGCCAGACTCACATCCTTCTCGACCAAGTGGGCCTGCTCCGTCCCCATTCCCAAGGGCTTGTCACCCCAGCAGCACTGCATCCACAGCTCTCTCCACCAATGCCACAGTCATGTTGGCAGCAGGCATTCCTGTGCCACAATTTATCTCTAGTTTACATCCTGAGCAGTCTGTCATCATGCCTCCCCATAGCATCACCCAGACTGTCTCTCTCAGCCACTTATCTCAGGGTGAAGTGAGAATGAACACACCCACGCTGCCCAGCATCACCTATAGCATCCGGCCAGAGACGCTCCATTCTCCCCGGGCCCCACTGCAGCCCCAGCAGATAGAGGTCAGGGCTCCGCAGCGTGCAGGCACACCCCAGCCAGCCCCGGCAGGTGTGCCTGCTCTGGCTTCCCAGCACCCTCCAGAGGAAGAAGTGCACTACCACCTCCCTGTTGCTCGCGCTACGGCCCCTGTGCAGTCAGAAGTGCTTGTCATGCAGTCTGAATACCGGCTACACCCATACACGGTGCCACGGGACGTGAGGATCATGGTGCATCCACATGTGACTGCAGTCAGTGAGCAGCCCAGGGCTGCAGAGGGTGTGGTAAAGGTGCCTCCAGCCAGCAAGGCCCCTCCGCAACCAGGGAAGGAAGCTGTCAAGACAACTGATACCAAAGCAGCACCTGCTTCTCATGGTGAAGCCCGCATCCTCACTGTCACCCCCAGCAACCAGCTGCAGGGGCTGCCACTGACCCCTCCTGTGGTGGTGACCCACGGGGTGCAGATAGTGCACTCAAGCGGGGAACTGTTCCAGGAGTACAGGTATGGCGACATCCGGGCCTACCACACGCCTGCTCAGCTCACTCACACTCAGTTTCCTGCTGCCTCCACCATCGGCCCACCTTCCCGGACCAAGACTCCTACTCAGGTGAGGAAGCCAAGTCTCCTGCCCAATCTGTTAACATGTACATGGGGGCTTTGAGGGATCGAAACAACAGTGTGTTGAAAAATCAGCCAAGAGAGTGGTTGGTTAGTGAGCTGGTCAGATACTCCCTGAAACATTTTGACTTTTTTATGGGACTCAAGCAAGCCTCAGAAACTTCAAGGCTCAGACCCCACCACAAGAGTGTTAGGCCATGGGGAAGGAGCTCTTCAGGAATGGTTGAAGTAGGTGGCTGCTTCCTGCAGCGGTGGGAAGGAGGGGACTAGGTGACCACTTAGCTGAGCTCAGTCCTGAGGCTCTGAGAGCATCTCCTACAGGAGACCCCTGCATCTCAGTGTCTGAGCCCCTCCCTGTGCCCAGTTAGGGGCAGGGTCTTTGTGCCAAACCAACTCTGTTCCTTTGTCTGTCTTCCTGATTCCCAGGGCCCTCCGTCTGAAGGGGAGCCCTTGCAGCCTGCTCAGCCTGCCCCATCACCTACGCAGCCTGTTCCGCCCACCCCGTCCACACAGCCTGCCCAGCCCATGCAGCCCTCCCAGCTAAGCCAGCCCAGCCAGCCACTGAGCAGCAAAATGCCTCAAGTCTCCCAGGAGGCGAAGGGGACCCAGACAGGAGTTGTTGAGCAACCTCGCCTCCCAACTGTACCTACAAACAGGCCAGCTGAGCCTCATTCCCAGATTCCGAGGGCCCAGGTGGAAACAGGCCAGACTTCCCATCCCTCTCCTGTGTCTATCTCTATGAAGCCTGATCTCCCAGTCTCTCTTCCTGCTCAGGCTGCCCCAAAGCAGCCATTGTTTGCCCCTACAATCTCTGGGCCCAGCACCCCACCAGGACTGGCTCTGGTGCACCAGGAAGCTCAGCCCACCCCCAAACAAGATTCCTCTCCACACTTGACTTCCCAGAGACCAGTGGACATGGTTCAACTTCTGAAGGTAAGTGTGGGCACAGGTCTGCCAAGCTTCCTGCTGTGTTAATGTCCTCAGATGCTCTGGTTGACTTGGACCAGTGAGCTGCTGCCCAAGGCCATGCTCAGCATGGCTTAGCTCTCCACTCATGTACTCATTTCCTGTTTCCTTTGAGCAGAAGTACCCCATCGTGTGGCAGGGCCTTCTGGCTCTGAAGAATGACACAGCTGCTGTGCAGCTCCACTTTGTCTCTGGCAACAATGTCCTGGCTCATCGTTCCCTTCCCCTCTCTGAGGGGGGGCCCCCACTGAGGATCGCCCAGAGGATGCGGCTGGAGGCCTCACAACTGGAAGGGGTTGCCCGGAGGATGACGGTAAGATGTAGGCCACAGGTGAGCCACTGCTGACGGCAGCAGTCAGCAGCACCACTGCTACCTACCTGTCCCCAGGAAGGGAGGGAATAGGGCCCGTCAGCCTTGGATGGTCATGGGACATGGCAGTAGTGCTCATGAAGAAGACAGGGAAGGGTGTGTTTCGTTTCTCTTTAGGGATGTAAAAGGCCTCCAGACCCAGATACAAGTTTTCTTACACTCAATTAGGGTGGATTTCCTACTCATAGCAACTCTATAGGGTAGAATAGAACTGCCCAAGGCTTTGATCTTTTTGGAAGTGGACTGCTACATCTTTATTCTGCAGAGCAGCTGGTGGGTTTGAACTGCTAACCTCTCAGCAGCTGAGCGCTTAACCACTGCGCCACCATGGCTCCAACTCTATGGCAACATGCTTGATTTTTTTTTTTTTTTTTGAGAGTGGATTTAAAGTCATCTCAGTGGTAGGGGGCTTGAAGATTTTAGAGCCAGATACCCCAGGTTGGACAGGCCTCCCTGCATGAGCTCTGATCATTGACGACTAGCCTCTCTGCCCAGGTGGAAACAGATTATTGCCTGCTGCTGGCTCTGCCCTGCGGCCGTGACCAAGAGGATGTCGTGAATCAAACCGAGTCCCTCAAGGCAGCCTTCATCACCTATCTGCAGGCCAAGCAGGCAGCAGGGATCATCAATGTTCCTAACCCTGGCTCCAACCAGGTCAGTCGGTGTCTTCCCTCTACACACACGCATGGGCTGGGAATAATCTGGTTGGGAAGTTGACCTTAGCCTGCTCTCAGTACTGGGCCTCTTCAAGTTTAAAGGCAGAATGGGAGTGAGAGGGGTGATGGGAAGGCAGACCATCCATTTGTCTCTCATCCCCTTCCCCAGCCCGCCTATGTGCTGCAGATCTTTCCACCCTGCGAGTTCTCAGAGAGTCACCTGTCCCGTTTGGCCCCTGACCTTCTCGCCAGCATCTCCAACATTTCTCCTCACCTCATGATTGTCATTGCCTCCGTGTGAGCCACCGAACGGTCACCACCTCGGCGTGTTTTTCCTGAGGTGCTGCAGCAAAAAATAAACACAGGACAACCCAGCCAAGTGGAGGAAGAAGCTGCCGAAGGGGACAGAGTCCACTGCCAGACGGCCAGCCTCCCACCCTCCTGCCCGCCCGGCTCCCGTCGGCCAGATCTTCTCTGGGCAGTGGTGCTGCTACCTTGTATGTTTACATGATGCTTTAGCCCAAGGACAGACCACCAACTGATAAGACTCGCAGACACCTTGGGGCTGGGTTTCTGTTCTTTTTGGAGAAAAGAAATAGGGCAGTGGAATTAATTTTTTTTTTTGTTTTTAAGAAACAAGAAAACAGAACTGCCTTTGCACTAAATTAGTGACTTGGACTTTTGCACAGTGAAGACAGGCTGTGACACTCTGGATGTTTGGTGTATGTGAACACACGTCGCAGACCCTCACGCAGGACTTTGAACTTCTGCTGAAACTTTGGGGTCAAGGAACATTTCATTGGGTTTTTGGGTCCCTGTCCCCCCTTCCCATGCTCATTTGGATGTGTCACCTTTCTTAATTCTCTGCCGCCACCGTCTTTGGTTCACCTGGATGTACAGTTTACACTTGAAAAGAGCAAACAGAAGGATAGCTAATTTTCTTTCTTGGTGGGATATGCAGAACTTGGGATGTGTGTATATATAAATATATAATATATATAAATATATATAATACTGACTTAAAAATCAAATTTCCCTGACATACATTTTTTTTAATCTGTGCCAAAAATGTGTTTTCAGAGAAAATCTTATTTTCATACTCAGACTTTGTATTGTCACTCATTTGTATAAGTGCGCTTCGTTACAGCACGGGCCTGCCCTGCGATGTGGAAGTGTCACACAGCACCTGTAAAAGACTGGCTGATCTCCTCTTCCTTTACCTGGACCTCCCCCAACGTCCTAACACTTATTAATTTATGAAACTGTTTTTCTCAGCGCAGTTTTGTTTTGTGTGTCCATTGGATTACAAACTTTATTAAAAAATACAAAACACGTCAAGTGTGAATGTGATTGTCACTTGGGTGGGAGGACCAAAGGTCCCTAGCTTGAGGAACAGGTAGTCCTTACCCCTCCTGTCTCTCTCCCCAACTCTGTACATGGGACCTGCTTCCTTTCTGCCATTTAATCAATCAGTCCTCCCCAAGGATCATTTGATCTCGCACAAAAATTTTTATAACAGATGCTGAACTTCAATTGTTTTTCAATGTTGTGTGGCAAATGACTTGTGATACTTCAAGGGTCTGATTGGCTCTTAGGTTATGTTGAAGGCACTTCAAATTTGATACAGAATAAAACCAACCCCCACACAAACTTGACACATCTTATGCAAGCTTTGGCTTGTCTCTTGTCCCTTGTCTCAGAGCAGTAGGCAGAGCCTGGCCTGCCAATGCTCCCTGGGGCACAGGTAATTCTGTTACCTGCCTCTGGATGGGAGGCAGGAGTGGGTAGGAAAAGCTTCCCTCAGCTATACCCACTACAAGCTGAGGAGGTGGGAAGACAGGGAACATGGGGGCTACAAAGAGGTCTCATGGAATCAAATGGGGTTCCTACACATAGACACCCTTCTGGTGCAAGAAGATGGTATATCTAGTATATCTAGTGAGGTGTTAACAGCTGCTGGGAGTGACCTGTAGGAAAAAAGGGGGCCCAGGTGCATCTCCCAGCTGATGGAGCTCCTGAAGGAGTTGCTCCACCAGCCCCTACTGGTTGGTCCTATTAACAGCACTGTGGTCCCTGCCTCCCCTCAGAGCTCCCTGCTGGCCCTGGGGCCCCAGCCTAGCTATAGAGATGCCATTGATTCAAGGCAGATAAATGCTCCCAAAAAGATGGCATGGGCTTGGCCTTTATCTTTAGGCCAGGGATGCCAGGGCAGTTGAGTGCAGAGAAGCCCTCCTACTTCCCCAGGGCCAACTGGACAGGGCTGGGGCCTGTGGGTCTGGCTCCCCTCTGCCCGTCTTGCTGCTTGGCCAGACCGGGCCCTGAGCTGAGCCTGGCAGAAGCAGCCTCAGGGCTTGGCTCGCTCTGGGTTGCCTGGGTTCTGGCAAGGCCCTGCTGGCCCCTTCCCCCAGCTTTGCAAACTAGGCTGAAGAGGGGCAGGGTCACAGCTATGCTCCATGGGAGTGAGGGGAGGTTGGGTCCTAAAGTTGAACAGGAGAGATGCCTCCAAAGAGGAACCTGGGGGGCGCATGGGTGGTCACATGGAGCCTTGGTCTCTCTGGCCCCTCACTGCTGCCCACACCCAAACTCAGTAAAGCAACCAGCTTGGTTCTAGACAGGTCTGCAAGAGGAATAGCCTGACTTTCCCAAGGAACAGGTCTATTGGCTGGTCCCTGGGTTGGGTAAGCCCTTCTGTGGCACAGCCATAGCTGCCAGCTCCCCAGCCTGCTCCACCCTCCACCCCCAGGGAGCTCTAGGCAGCATTAGAAAATAATGAAATTTATTCTCTAGGGAGCAAGGCCACCCCTCTCAGTTCTAGGGTGCCATCCATCTTTAAATAAACAGTCAGGAGGAGGGGTGCCTGCTCACTCGGCCGGCGGTGGACATTCGGGGGCTGTGGGTGGGGTCTCTGCCAGGGCAGGTGGACCCTCAGCCCCATCCCGAGGGCGGAAGAGCAGCTCCCCAGCCTGCAGCACCTGCCCGGCTGGCCACGTGCCACCTGGCCCGTACTGCTGGTAGAAGTCCGTGTCTGCCTGGAACATGACGAGGGCCTGGGCTGTGTGGATCCGCACGTGCTGTGCCAGGCTGTTGGCATCCAGGAACTTCTCCCCACAGGAGTCACAGGCGTAGAGAATCTGGGTGTTGGGGTCTGTGGGAGGTGGGGGCTGCAGTCAGCACAGAAGGGACCCTTGTGCTTCCCCGGCTCTCCCACCCTGGGCAGCCGCTCTTACCTGCTTCCTGCACTTGCTTCACAGCTTTGGTGATCTCAGCTTTAAGTGCTTCCGTCTCATCAGCGGTCACTGCGGCTCCCACCGGTACTACTGTGGGCAGAATTGGCAGGGTCTAAGGCCGGAGGCACCTGACCGTGTTTGCCACCCGAGGCAAGTGGCCTGTGACTACCCTCTGCTGCCTACAGCCCGCACCTGTGAGCTGAGTAACGGCTGTTGCTGCCAGCGCCTCAGTGGCCAGCGTGACCATGTCATCAACTGTAACCACGCTGACCTCTCCACCCTCCTCTGGTTCCAGGATTTTGATGCCCGCCTTGCCCTGGTGCACAGTCTTCACATGGGAACGAAGGTTGTCCACCCGGTTAAAGCCGCGGCCACACTTGTCACAAAGGTAGGGCTTCTCTCCTGGGGAAGAAGGCAAGATTACCACCTGCCTTTTGGGGTAGGGTAGCAGAGGATAGGAGTGGGAAGACCTCACTGGGTCTCAGCTTCACTAGCAGGAAGTTTTCAGACCTCCTAGAAGATCCAAGAAAACAGGGTCCTCGTTAGAGCTAGACTGCCTTCAGAGCCACCTGCAGCATGTGCCAGCACTTAACGCTCGGATCTGGGCTGAGTGCCTTCCCCCTAGTTGAGAAGGGGCACAACAGCAGGAGCAGCAGCTCACCAGTGTGGATGATGATGTGCTTGGACAGGTCCCCCACGTTGACGAAGGCCTTGCTGCACACGCTGCACTTGTGGGGGCGGATGTTGTCATGGTGGCGAATGTGATTGGCCAGCTGGCTGGACTGGACAAATCTGTAGGGTCACAGAGGAAGGGGATCATATTGAAATGCCTGCCCCAGGGTCAAGAGGACCTGAGTTGGGGCCTCCTCCTTCATCTTTTAGGTTAGAGAAGATCCCCAGACCTAAGCTTGGGGCTTGGGCAGCACTCTGCTGGTCCCCCCACCGAAGCCCTCAGTTGTTTCCTGCCCTCTTTGAGGTGTAGTGCTTGGGAGCTAGACCTTTGGGCTCGGGGCAGGGGCTAAGGGAGCAGGACCTCTTGCCACAGCGCTCACAGACGTAGGGTTTCTCGCCAGTGTGCTGGCGCACGTGGGCGATGAGGGAGCTGGCCTGGGTGAAGGCCTTGCCACACATCACACACTGGCAGGGCTTCTCACCTGGGGACAGGGGCAGGAGAAGGTGTTGGTGCCGACTTCTCCTCCCCTGCATCCCAGCCCCCTGGCCACCACCAGGCTCGCTCACCCACCCGTGTGGATCCGGACGTGCCGCTGCAGTGCGCCAGGGTCTGCAAACTGCCGCTGGCAGTGGATACACACGTAGGGCTTCTCCCCACTGTGGATCCGAAGGTGCCGCTTGAGGTTCCCTGTGTGAGACCAAGGGAGGCCCGGCATGGTGCACCCTGAGGGCTGAGGAGGGAGGGGCGGGCAGCCAGGCAGCCCTGGTCCTACCTGAGGTGGTGAACTGCTTCCCACACTCTCGGCACTTGAGGGGCCCATCCGCGATGTGGATCTTCAGGTGGGCCTTCAGATTCCCCACCTGTGCCAGGCAGGGGTCAGCAGGGCCACCCCACAGAGCATGGCCTCAGGCCCCTCCTTAGTCCCTGCCACCAGCGAATAAGTGATTCACATCCTCCCAGGGGCCTGTGGATAGCTCTCTCTTCTTGAGGCTAGCAGAATGTTCCAGGCCCCAGCAGTGGAAATAAAACCACCCTCACAAACAACAGTTGTTTCTGGCCCAAGCCCCACCCTGACCCACCCTGCCCTCCCAGTCTCCTCAGACCACCTCCTTTCCCCACAGCTCTGTGCAATTGCTCCCCACTCTATTTCTCCTGGATCACCGCTACTTAGACTGAGAGCTCTGGGAGGCCCAGGGCTGCCTCTGTTTGCAGTACCCCCACCCCCCTCCTCTGAGCCCTACAACATGCAGTCAGGACTCTGGACCCCTGAGGGTGGCCGAGGCCCCCAGCCCCCACCTGCATGCACCGATTCTCGTGCATGCATGAAGCGGGCCCACCGACCTGGTTAAATTTCTTGTCACAGTGTGGGCACTTGTGCTCCTTGTCAGTGTCATGGGTCTCCAGGTGGCGCATCTTGGAGGTGGGGTCGGAGAAAGAGCGGCCGCAGTAGTCGCACTGATAAGGCTTCTCGCCGCTGTGCACCAGCTGGTGCCGCTTGAGGTTGCCGGAGGTGGTGAAGAGCTTGCCGCAGTCCTCGCAGCGGTAGCGCGCCTCACCCGAGTGCCGCTTCTTGTGCAGGTTCAGCAGGCTGATGAGCCGGTAGCTCTTACCGCATTCCTCACAGCCATATGGCTTCAGCGGGCTGCAGGGGCGGAGGGCAGCCGAGGGAGAGGGAATCACTGGGTCCCAGACAGGGCGGGGAAGTGGGGGCAAGGTGGCTGGCCTGCTGTGGGGGCCCCCCGTACCTGTGCGTCTTCTCGTGGGCCTTGCACGCGGCCGGGTCAGAGAAAGCCTTGCTGCACTCCTGGCATGAGAAGGGCTTTTCACCTGTGTGGATGCGGATGTGCCGCTTGAAGTTCCCTGTGTGTGTGAACTCCTTCCCACAGTCCTGCAGGCACAGCAGGGACAGGGTGTGAGGGGGCTATTGGCAGGTGACGGGGCCAAGGAGGGTTGGCAGTCCAAGGCCCTCGCACCTCACACTTGTGGATGACGGAGCCGTAAGCCTTGGACTCGGTGCGGTCACCGTAGGTGCCTGAGCGCAGGCTCCGGGCCTCCACGCTGAGCTCCTGGCCTGAGTCTGTACCCACTGACTCCTCATTGTCCTCGCCATTCTCCAGCTGGGGCCCTTCCTCCTTGACTGCAGCTGGCCCGGTGCTGTCCACCTCTTGCTCGTCTTCTCCTTTCCTTGCTGGCTCCACCTCCATCTCTACCAAGAGAAGAGCAAGCCCTGAGAAGCCAGGGACAAGAAGGGCCTAAAGACAGACATGACCTCAGACCCAGACCAGTGCCAGGAGCCTGGGCTGCCAGCACCCCCGCCCGGCCTTCATGGGGTCATCTCTGTACCCATGCCCTGCTCTGCCTGGGCACTGAGCAGGGACTCCAGCCAGATCTGGGAATGACAAACAAATGTCCCCAGCACTTGCCAGGGAAACTCTAGAAGAGTCAAACCCCACTGCCATCAAGTCAATTCCGACTCATAGCAACTCTAGAGGACACAATGTAATTGCCCCATAAGGTCTTCAAAGGTGTAAATCTTTTCAGAAGCAGTCTGCCTCATCTTATTCCTGCAGAGTGGCTGGTGGGTTCAAACCACCGACCTTTCAGTTTGCAGCTAAGTGCTTTAACTACTGTGAACCAGGGCTCCCTTCCAGGAGAGTCAGGTGACTGGATATTTGCTACCTGGGGCCTCAGTCTATGGGGGTAGGCACCCAGGCTGGCCACGGGGCAGGAAGGGCACTGTCAGCCAAAGGCCCTTGGGGGGCGGTGTATGGGCTAGCAAGGCATCTCTCACAGGTATTCAGGGCTAGAAGCAGCAGAAGCTCCAGTGCCGTGTCAGCTATACTCCTACGCTAACAGGGACGAGGGCCAGGCTGTACAACCAAGAACTGATCTCAGAATCCTAGAATGAGGAAAGATGTCTGTCCAAAAAGCTGATGTGAGGAGGTGACTCAGTGTGGGATCGGCTGGAGGGAGGAGGAGAGGGAGAGAGACAGGTGGGGAGTGAAAGAGGGCTTGGGGATGTGAGAGTGGGGCCTGGCCCGCTTGGAGGGTACCTTGCTCCGAGTTCTCTGACAAGGCAGCCTCGGCCTCAGCAGCAGCCATGCCACTAGTGGGGTCTGGCTTGAGCTCCACAGGTGGTGGCTCCCGGGGGGCATCAGCCTTCTCCGTCTGCTCTGCCCCTGGGGTAGGAGAGGGCAGAGACATGGGATTGGAACCCTCTGGGGCAGGGGGCGGGGCACAACTCAGGCAGGTTGTTGTCTCTGGCGGGAACACCCCAGAACAAACAACGGGTCCTTCTGGATCACCTGAGCTCAGGAAGTAGTTACCCGTGCAACCCCACCTCCCGGCCACAGACCCTCCTGAGGAAGGCCCTTGCTACGTTGAGCTGCTGGGAGAACGGAGCAGCCAGCTGAGCCCTTAGCATCGTAACTCACCACTGGCTGCACTCTCAGCCTGGCCACCTCGCTCCTCCTTGGGCTCCCTGCCTGGGCCTGCCGGTGGACTGCTTCCTGCTTGGTCCAGCTCACTCAGCGTGGTGGCAACAGCCTTCTCCTCCTTGGCTCTCTTGTCTCCTCCTGGAGATGGAATAGGACAGACCTGCCATTTCCCATCAAGTGCCCATCAGAAATTGCTAACTCTTCTGGGCCCTCCCTGGGGAGACAGGTAAGTAGTGGTTGGTGGTTGGTTCATTTGACAGACCATTTGCAGGGCCCCTGCTCCAGGCCAGGCCCTCAGCTGGTGCTGCGACTACAGCATTGAGCATGCCAGTCATGGTGCCTGTCCTCGTGGGGCTCACAGTCTGACCTGGGTGATGGGCCTCAGACATGGCATGATGACACCTGACCAGAGGCTGGTGCTTGGAAGGAAAGGCACATGACACTCTGGGAGCTGCAGTCAAGGAATCTGACTCACACTCGGTGTTGAGGGCCTGTCTGAGGAGATCGGGGAGCAGAAGGCAGGATGCAAGAAGAGAGTGCGAGGGGGCACACACACCAGTGTGACAGGTGACTCCCTGGGCCTCACGGGCAGCAGAGCCCAGAGGAAGCTGGTAAAAGGTCGAAGGGGCAGGCAGAAGGGGCCCTTCAAGAGGCCTTTCCCAGGCTTTACTGTGGCCAGTCCTCACCGGCACTGCGACGGAGGCAGGGTCAGATGGGGAAACTGAGACCCAGATAGGACACAGATGGTCAGAGGCAGAGACCCATCAAAAGCCAAGATCTCTGGCCTCCTGCTCAGGAATCCAAAACCAAACCCACTGCCATTAAATCCATTCTAACTCATAGCAACCCCTGTTGGGTTTTCAAGGCTGTAAATCTTTACAGAAGTAGATTGTCCCGTCTTCTTCCTGCAAAGCAGTTGGTAGGTTTGAATCTCCAACCTTCTGGCTAACAGCCAAATGTCTTACCTACTGTAGTAGTTCCTACTACAGCCTGCCAATAATCTTACCTTCCGTGGTCGCAGCCTCCATGTTTTCCCCAGGGTTGGTGGCTGGCTCTGCGAGTGACTTGAGGGCATGGCAGGCTGTGATGATATCCTGCATCTGGAGGAAGCTGGCCACAGCCAGCACATCATCCACGTTCTCAGGGCTGAGGCTTAGCTTGGCCGTGTACATGAACTCCAGCACCTGGCCCAGGCCTGCCAAGGACACAGCCAGCCATCACAGACCCACCTCAGGGCCTGGCATCAGCAGCCTGCCCAGGTGGCTGGCCACCTGTCTCCCCACTCCTGTGCTGGGTACTCTCAGCCCAGTGACAGGCTTAGAAAGTCGGGATGCTCCCAGAGGACAGAGGGTGTGAATGTTCCTTCATCCCCTGCACCCACCCAATGTACGTCAAAACTGAGGACACTCCACCCGAGTGTCAGCCCTGGCTTCTCATCAGGGTTCAGCCAGATATCACCTGACCCTTCTGGGGCTCAGTTTCCAGATATATAAAATGGGGCAGGATCATCTCGCCCTGATCTCATGATATGTCATGTCATTCTGGGCTGGACATCTGAATCCAGGACCAGTTCCTTCTTCATTCCCAAGGCCTACCTGATACCATCCCAGGTGTGCACACCTGTCCTGGTCAACCCACCATCATCCCACATACTCCTGGTTAGTGCTGGGGTAGGGGCTCAGAACTGGACTCAACCATGGCAAGGGGCTGGGTGCTCAGGACCAAACAGTCTCTGTCCCTCCCTATAGAGCTTGCCCTCTGTCTGCTCCACTCTGGAATTGATTAGAGCCCCTCCCCCACCAGCTCTCCCCTACCACCTCCCACCCCAGTCAAAACAGGCTCCAAAAAGGTGGTGCAATTTGGTACCCCACGCTCTTGGCCCATCCCACAGCTCGACACAGGGGCTGTGTCAAGAGCGTGTTACATGGCCCCAGGACCCAGCCACAGCCTCCAGCCTCAGCAAGAAGGCCCTGGGCCCTCCCAGGGTACCTGCCGCATTACTGATGTCCAGGTGCACCACATCCTTCTGGTCCACAAAGAGCATCTTGAAGTACTCGCTGCAGGCAGCCAGCACCGCTTTATGGGCCTTAAAGTCAACCCCGTCCACCACGAAGGTGCAGTCACACAACAGCCCCAGCTGCCGCTGCTGGTTCAGCTGCTCCAGGACGTGCTGGCTGTGCTGGGGGAAATCCATGGCTGGGGAAGCCAGGGGGCTTCATGTTAGCAAGGAGGAGGGATGCCAGCTGGTTCCAGCCCTGAACTTCCCAGATGAAGGAATGTGGAGGGGACTGGGAGAATGAAAACAGGGGAATGGCATTTCTGCCTCAGAAGGACAAAGAAGCCCAAATGCTGCAAACACAGGGCCCCTGTGCTGCCTACGTCCTTGGGTTTCACGGGGCAAGAAAATGCCCCAAAAGTTAGGAGGGGCCAACACAAACTGCTACCTTTGTGTCTTGCTAAAGGTAATGACACTGAAAGTCAAAAAACAAACCAATCAACCAGAAAACACATGGTCAGTTTAACATTTAAAAAAAAAAAAATCGTACACAGGGCATATCTTAAAATAAAGATGCTCTTTCAAACACTGGCTTATGAAAAACCTTCTATTTTATTATGTTTCCCATTTCATTGTGGACAGGTGGGACATATCTGGGAAGATGACAAGGCAAAGTCTTCATTACCCAAAGTTTCAGGACTCAGTCAAGCATGAGGGGTGGCCTGGCCCCTCTCCTGCTGCATTTACAGAGCCCTGTGTGGCCCCTGGCAAACCTTCCTCTCTCTGACTCATGGGCTCCAGAAACCATGGAAAGCTGGGGAGTCCTCTGCCCCCAGAAGCCTCTGTCCTGAAACTGTCCCCAGGGAAACAGTGAACTCTGGCCTTGACCCTGAGACCTGCTGACCTCGTTGCAGTTTCTCAGTCCATGCCTACAAATCCCACAACTCTCCAGTGAAGATGCTCTGAAAGATTCCATGGTGCCTACATCTTGATCTCCAGTGGCCATGACTAAACAAGTACCCACATCAGTGCTCCCCACCCTAGTACCACCCAAAGTCACTGCCGAGATCAGTTCTTTTCTAGTAAAAATAAGCCCTCTTTTCTAGAAAGAACCAGTTTTGGAATGTTGGAGAATAAAAATCAGCCCTCAGTCTCTGGAGCCACATTACACGGAACCCACAGGGCAAGCCTGCCCCAGCCAGGCTGCCTGGTAAAAAGCAGTGGTTTCTCTTTCAACAGCTCTGAACCTAGCCAGCCTCTTCTCTGAGGCTGGCCTGCTCATCACACCCCCAGGCTGCCTCCGGGCAGACAGGGACACTTGGGGGCTCCCAGCACCCAGCTTAAGCAGCTTCTTGCTGGCTCTAGTCATTTCCCCAAGTTACATCAGCCTCAGAGGGGTGAGTCACTCCTGCAGCGCATGGTGACCATGTATGGGTGTCTGGCTGGGTGAGCAGGAGTGAAGGCCACGCCCCTTGTGCACTGCTTAGCCAGCTCAGATCAGCGTTGACAGATGCAAAGTCCACCCACTCACAGTAGGGTATGTACTGGCTGGGGTGGGGATGGTGATGAAACCCAATAGGTGGACAAAGATCCCTCAAGGAAGGGGACCATGGCAGCGGCTATAGGCCTGTGCTGTAGCCTGAGTTGTGCGTTACTACTGCTGGAGGCCTAGAAACACCCTCCCCACTCCCTGTGCCCTCAGGACTCTGCTCTGGTCCCAGCCTCCACACACAAGCTCCCAGACCCGGGGCTTTGCTTCTCAGCTCCGTCAGCTGTATCTATAAATGCCTGCAGCTAGAGCTCTTCTGGGTAAGCAGGACAGAGCCGGAGGACAGCCCTGAAGCCAAGAGGTGAGGCTCTCCAGGCAGCTGGGCCCTTGGCTTCGTGCAACAATGTGCTCCAGAGACAAACCAGCTGGCAGCAGCAGGCTGCTACCAACATGGGACACCTCATAAAGGGATCTTTCTTTAGGATCTTCAATCCCTGGGATAAATCAACCCCAGAGCTGTCTCTTCTCTGAGGTGGAAAAAGGGATGTGTGCAGAGGTGTGTACGTGGGTGGGGGCAGCCCCTAGGTCCCCGGCACCAGTCATCCTTCACAACCTCAGGAGGCCCAAGTGAAAGATATGGCAGGTGGAGAAAAGGAGGGAGCACTGGGGCCCCCACAGGGCAAGCGCCTCAGCCTCTGCCCATTAATCTAGGAGGCTGTGCAGACAAGCCAGTACAGAACCCGAAAGGTCTAAACCCTTTCCTCCTGGCAGTGGGCCTGACTCCCTCACCCACACCAGGAGCCACCTGAAAACTGAGCTGGGGTGGGGTGTCTCCAGGTTCCACAACAACCAGGGAGGACTGGTAGACCCAAAGTATCAGCCGCTCCCAGGCCCTCTAGCTGAAGAACTATTGGCCAAGCGGATAACCATGTGAAAAGACTCTGGCCAACAGGGTAGCAGGGCCTGCTGGCCCAAAAGGCAGGGGCAACTAGGGACCCACGCCTTCACACTGCTAGCCATGCCAGAGCTCCTGGGTAGGGCAGTCCAGCCCAGCCCCAGGGAGACAGGTCTTCCTTCCCACCAGGTACAACGCCCAAGGGCTGGGCACAGGAGGGAGTAACTTGCAGCAGCCTTGTCAGAAAGCCAATTAAGGTCCCTGGGACAGAGTAGATAGTACCCCAGTACCACCAGTTCTGCCCCCCAACACATACACAGAGAATGGCCATCCACCCACTAGTAGCATATCCCACCCAATGCTAACACACTCTTCCAATGCAAGACAGTGACAGGTTGACCTGGGCCCAGAACTGGGCTCCTCTTCAAATGGGGTGCTGGAAGCACAGAACCAGAGGCCATCTATCACTCCCCTGAGGTGGCCCCCATGGTTGCTCCAGCAGAGAATCACACACACAAGAGCATCTATTCTGACCGAATCAAAGAGAGAAAATGGGAAACAGGGTAAAAGCTACCGAGGAAGAACAAAAGATGGGGAGAGTCAGGGAAGGAGGGGAGAGGAGCCAAGGGCAGAAAAGCCAGCCCTGATTGCCCTGCTAAGCAGGGCCTTGAACACAGGCTCGCAGACACCAATCTTGTGATCAGCACCCCAGGGAGTGTGCAGCCTGCATGCTGCCACCCACAGACATCAGCCCATGCTGGAGCGCCAGGCTACAGCCGTGGCATTTATAATCGCACTGCTCTCACCCCAATGGGGCAGGTGGAGCTCAGAGTCACTGGCTGTTTTCACACTCCTGCCTCCAACAGCTGGCTGCCTGCAAACAGCTCACTCAGCTCCATCTCTTCCCGAGGTGATGCGGCAGGAGCAGCCTTCCTAGTGCCCCACCCAACCTGTGGGGAACACTAAAGCTCTCGGATGAGCACAGCTTTCCTCCAACTATTTCCTGTCACCTCTCCTACTCCACAGCAATAAGACCACAGGCAGGTCAGGCCATGCTTAGGAGGATACAGGAAGAGTCCCCTTCTGTGTTCCATTACACTGGGTGCGCAGGCAATTAATTCTAAACGACGTCAGAGATAACATACCGTTCCCGCCAGACAGGCAGCTCTCACCATCCCCACTCTTCACTCCAGCACAGGTGTGGGGATCCCTTCTATTCATCTTGCTTGAAGGATGATAAACATAGGCACTAGCTAAAGCTACTTCTAAAAAGGATTCTAAAAACTTAGAATATAGAAAATGCAAATAGAACAAGACCACAGAGCCCATCAAGCCCAGGGTCCTCCTTTTAGATGAGAAAATAAAGCCTAGAAAGGGCAGGTAACTTGCTCTGGGACCCTCAGCCACTCAGAGATGGATCTTGCCTTCTGACATGAACTTCTGGCTGCAACCTGGCACCTCTGCCTGTGACATCTCCAGCTGCTCAGTTGTGACATTGGATTAATGGGTCAGACTTCAGGTTTCAGAGCAGAGCTGGAATGCTCTTCTGATGATGATGACACACTGTCCTGGCCTGCCTCCCCTCGAATTCATCTGCTTAATGAAAAGTGTGTGTGTATGGGGGGGATGCGCACAGAATGACAGTGAACAGGCACAACTGAACACATGACAGTGTGGAGATGACCTCTGAGGATGGCTGCTGATTCTCACCACCCCCACCCCCCAGGGCCTGCCACACCTCCTGTCAAGACATGGAGTCTATTTCCTTCCAGTTGAACTGGATGGGCCTGCAGAGACTTTGGTCACAGGCTGCGGCAGCAGTGATTCTGTACGACTTCCAGGCCTAGCCCAAAAGAGGCCTGGAAGATGGTTTATGCAATCTTGGAAGCCAGCCACTATACTATAGGGAGGTCTGAGCTCTCCTGTTGGAGAGAGGGAGCATTGGAGAGGCTCTGGAGGATGGAACACCAACACAGAGGAGCCACGTGAAGGACCGAGACCCCATCTAACAGCACCAAGGACCCGGCATGAGGCAGAGGCCTTCTTGGACCTTCCAGGCCAGCTGCCAGTGGGATGCTACCACTAGAATAACCTCAACCAACACCATGTGAAGCAAAAGAACTGCCCTGTCAACCCACAAAACTGAGAAAGAAAAATTAATGATGGTTTAAGCCAAGAAATTTTGGGGTAGTTTGTTATACAGCAATAGATAAGTGATGGATAACAGATGTTAAAACCACCAAGAAAAGGTAATAGTTTACAGAATGTTCAGGGCAGTGGTTCTCTCAGGATGGGAGGGAGGGCAAACGAGTCTTCAGAGATACTGGAAGAGTGCTATTTCCTTACTTGGATATGCCTGTGCTTACTTAAACTACACATGTGTACATTCCATATACTTTGTATGGAAGACATATTTCAAAATTTAACAAAAGTTTTAATAAGAAACCAAGTACCAGGTTCAATCCAGTTACAGTGCAGAGCCCACGAGCTGCCAGGGCCCTGGGACAGCAGCACGGCCATGAGGTTTCCAGTGAGGCTTGTGCAGGTGGGCCTCGGAGGGCTGGCCACAAAAAACAACCCTTTTCACTGGTTCTTCAGCTCCAGAATGTTGGCAGACAAACCACTGGTGCAAGAAAAGTTTTTGCATGGGTCATGAAATCCACTTCGCTCAACTCAGCAGAACCTCAGATTCCTGCAATAATGACATGATGGCATTTATGGTGCCTCTTCAACATGCCACACAATGCTGTCAAGCCTGGCCCACTCTCATCACCTAAGAACCAAGGACATGGTCCATTCAGGGCAGCAAATTCTAC